ATATATATATATATATATTACATCTTTTATGCAAAAGACGTCAATGCGTGCTTAGTGTCGTAGACTTCTACGCCCAAGTCTAATAAAAGGGCTGGAACATTATTATAAAATTATGTACATTTTTCTTGACTTAACCCTCTTAAGTGTTAAGTATTCTCGTCAAATTTTTAAAGTAAATAAAAAATGAAAGGAGAAGGTTATTGAATTCAAAGAACTTGAGAAAAGAGCTATGCATTCAGCCTATTTATATTTCAATTTGAGTATGAATTCACAAAACATCAAGGGGAAAAACTGGAAAAAAAAAAAAAAAAGCTTATGAAAAGAAGGAAGTGGGACCAGAAAGCTCAACTTCATTTCCTAGCTAAATGCCCAATTGAATATTTCTCAGATAGAGTGGCTAATATCATTACAAAAATCAGCAATGATGAAAGAAACAATAACTTATATTCAATTTGCCACGTGTGCCAAATGGGACAGATGGTATAAATGTTGTAACTTAATTATGCATAGAAGATTCTTTGGTTTATATACATCATGTTCTGTTCAAATTATTCTTTTCGGCCGTTTATCTAAGAGAATTATTCTAATCTACTCTGTTAATTCTTGATGACTCTTGTCGCTTTTATGGCTTAACCCAATTGAATATTTCTCAGATAGAGTGGCTAATATCATTACAAAAATCAGCAATGATGAAAGAAACAATAACTTATATTCAATTTGCCACGTGTGCCAAATGGGACAGATGGTATAAATGTTGTAACTTAATTATGCATAGAAGATTCTTTGGTTTATATACATCATGTTCTGTTCAAATTATTCTTTTCGGCCGTTTATCTAAGAGAATTATTCTAATCTACTCTGTTAATTCTTGATGACTCTTGTCGCTTTTATGGCTTAATTTATTTCCTTGTTGACGCTCATTATATGATATCTTCTGCTTTATCCATTTGTTAACTATATAACAATATAAAAAGTGCATTTACCATATTTAATTATACTAATTGCAACTGTATACATTTTGCTTCCATCATTCACACGGCCCCTCAATTATATCAAAGTTCATACACATTCACACCCACAAAATATAAAATATTTTGAGTGCTTATATGTTTGATCTTGTTTTTTGAGATTGTATAAATGGATCATGTATCTATATGAGTATAGCATAAAAACAATAACAATAATAATAATAAGGCAAGTTGAATGGATAATGGACAAGAGCGGAAGGTTCTACACTAACTACGTGTTTCTTGAGTATCCAAGAGGTATCATGGTTTTTGGACTTTTCAATTGAAATGCAATATGATTTCTCTTAAAATATTTATAGTTTATTTTTCTTTTGGAATATAAGGATTTTCCTCTTTAAAATAATAGTTTATCTATTGTTCAAAAAGCGTATTATTATTAGGGGAGCTTTGTCTTAAATCTTAATTATTGTCAAGAGAATAAAGTCCGTCAAATCTTAATTATGGTTTATCTATTGTCCGATGTATGTCTCCTTCAAATAATTCCTTGATATTCTAAAACTTTACAGCATGGTCAAAAAATGGGTTGACACTTGGCAGATTACAAAACCCTTTGCTTTTTTGATTATCAAAATTAAGACTTCGCCAGTTGGAATTAAAATTTTGAGTTAAAAAGTGAATTCATATGAGAAAAAATATTATAATAGAAAAAATTAAATTAAAAAATTTTTTTTTAAAAAAAATACTGCAATAAAAATCAAATAATTCCTTGATATTCTAAAACTTTACAGCATGGTCAAAAAATGAGTTGACACTTGGCAGATTACAAAACCCTTTGCTTTTTTGATTATCAAAATTAAGACTTCGCTCGTTAGAATTAAAATTTTGAGTTAAAAGTGAATTCATATGAGAAAAAATATTATAACAAAAAAAATTAAATTAAAAATTTTTTTTTAAAAGAAAATACTGTAATAAAAACTTAAATTGTGATTTGAATTAATGAAATAAAAGACGATTGGATCATGCAAGGTAGAGAAACTTATAAATTTCCGCAACACGATAAGATACAAGTTTGTAGAAATTTGCTCAAACTCAATCCTGCAATTAATTGAGACCTAACAAATGAAGGCTATCCATTTACATTACAACCAGTTAAATCTGGTTATACGCATTTTCAAAAGCTCAATGACAATCAGAAAAGATTTGAACCATTTTAAAATTTGTGTTGTTGAGTCTCATGTAACAAATTAAAAACATCTCAAAGTTGAAGGGCCCGGATCGATTTTTCCATCGTCACCGTACTCGAGGGATACCTGTCAGATTAGATTGTGTTTCTTTTTTGTCGGAATTTCAAAAAGCATATGTTACAACACCAATTGTTTATGCCTTTGGAGTCTTGAAGCCATTTGATAAAAAAGTTCACTCTTGATCTAGGGTTTTAAACACTTCGAGAGGATCAACTCACATAATAGAGATTTCCACAAGATCAATTTTTTTTCCCCTTTATATTCCAATGAGGAGCTCAATTTTCCAGCTTAGAATGTGAAAAATCACAAACACAAACGGCAAACAAATGACTGGAAATGCATACAAAAAGCGAATATAATAGTAAAATCAGGGACTATTTCAATTACAGAACAAAATGAGCTTGATTTGGCATGCCATTATTTTTAAGTTTAGTTGACATAAAAGTTAAGCAAACTTCACAGAAAAGCAACAAAAATCCTTGGTAAGAGCCAGCAAAGGCTAGTCTAACTCAGCATTCACAAAGTGCACTTTTTTCACTAAAGTTTTTCACTGTTCACTGTTCATACACTACTAAACAAGCTAAACATTATAACAATATTTCTAAGTGGGCTTGAAGATCTGGAAATCTTTTATCTCTTTTCTTTCCCCTTATTGCAACTTTCATTTCACTTGTTTCAAGGTCTCCTTTTTAAAGAAATATAAAAGAAATAGTAAGAGAAGAATTGTAATTGGGACCAGAGAGCTTTAAGAAAAGAAAAGGAAAGGGAAAAAAAAAAAAAAAAAAACTGAGCCACTGAAAGCCATGTAATTTACCAGAGGGTGTGCATTTCCAAAACTATCCACAAACTGTAATTCACTTACCACCTGACCAAAAAAACACAAAAATAGCAATAAAAATTTGAGTTTTTATTAAAGTTTTCCTATTGGAAAAGGCATAAAGAAAAGTGGGTTAGGATTAGAAAAAGAGAAAGAGAGACAAAAATAAAAGTTGGTACCTTTTCCACTATCACACAGTTTTCTCAAGAAAGAAAGGAACACAATAAGCAGGGCAACTCCAGCTATGAGTCCAATTAATATTGCAAGAGTCTTCTCAATCTCTTCGTCATTGTTGTCATCATCTACAGAACAAAAGGAAAGCAAACGGAATATTGAATAAAGCAAAAACAATTAGGATTTAACTAAACTTTATGTCTAATTGTGATTTGAAAGCTCCAAAATGGAATAATGAAGATCACCCATTTGTAGAGAACGGTGTCATATTAAAGTTTTTGTCATCTATCTCAAGGTTGTGATCAAATTGTGCTACTTCTCTTTTCCCAACTAAAATGACTCAATTGTATTGTTTTAGTAGTTTCTGTTTAAATGAAACGATAAATGTGAGGCATTTTTCTTGGTAGAACTTAATTTCAAGTCTTTCTACAAAAAAAAAAAAAAAAAAAAAACCTTAAGCTCAAGTCTTAATGTAAGTATTTAGATGATTTTTTTTTTTGAACCAAGAATTACTCAACATGGCATTGGATTCTCTTAAAGTTCCTTGTGAGAGACTCTAATTCAAAGTGGGGCCTAATTACTTGTCCCGTGGACTGCAATTTTGTAACCATGAACTTTACAAGAAAGCAAGCTTTTTTTAGAATTCAAATAGTTGCATTGAAAATTTGGCTCTTATAGGTACCGATCTAGTCAACATTATTGAATACAAATACAAGCCCCCCCCATTTTTTTTTTTTTTTTTCTTTTTCACTTTTCTTCTCTTTAATGTATTTTACCAGCTTTAGCAAAAGAATAAATTACAACATCTACATAATATGCTATATCGCACTTGGAAAAGAACCTCTTTCGTGCTCATGAGGCACAAAATGCTGAAATTGCATTACTCTGAGAATCCCATCAGAGGATAAGATTTTAAGCTAATCTAAGAATCAATTTTACGTAATAGAAATCACTCGAAGTTGAATATTCCAAGGTACCCACTACCCACCAAAAAAAAAAAAAAGTTCTAGAAGCAAATAACTTCATCACTAGGGAAGCAATAATGGATTATAAAAAGCTAAAGTTTACCATTACATTCAGTCCAACACACAAACCCACGCACCACAGGAGGAAGTGCTCATAATTAAACACATAAATAAAAGAAGAAAAAAAACTAGAAAATGTTGAAAAAAAAAGAAAAAAAAGGGAAAAAAACTCTATTTGAACAATAAGAACCCACCATACGCAAAACCACCATGCAATTAATTAAGCTGACATTTTAAAATTTTTCATGGAGGGTCTTGGGTAAGATTCACAATTATTCAACTAGAGCATTTTTTGAATGAGTAAAAACTAAAATCAAAGTAAAAATACCAAAATAAACCAAACCACTACGAGAGTGGCCAAACCAAAACTAACCATCTTACCCTTTTTGCCGTGCGAGTGGTATCCACCTTGCGAGAAGCGCGCGTAGCACTTGGCCAAGTAAACGTCCCCCCACGAGGAGGGCCCACACTCGGTCTTCAGCCGTTGGATCGCGTCCGAGACGCAATCCTGGCACTCCGATGGGCTCAAATCGCCAACGCACTGCGCCACGCCCTGAACATTCCCGGACCCACCCGTCCTAAATAGGGTCCCACCGTTCCCGGCGCCGGCGGCGGGATTCTGCAAGTAATCTAAAACGGCGTTGCAGCGGGTCAACGCGTCGGAGTCGTACCCAATCGACGGCCCACATTTCTTGACGACCTCGGTCTTGTCCTCCACGCCGAGGAACGTGGCGTTGTCGTACTTGACGAAGCAGCCCTCCAGTTGCAACGCGCCGCCGCACGCATCGAGGCAGAGCGTGCCCAGCTGGCTGACGGCGCGTGCGACGCACCGCGAGCAGGCGTCGCTGCCCAGGTCGCCGCGGCACTGGAAGAGGCCGGAAACAACGTCGTTCGATGAGGACGAGGAAGGGATGGTGAAGTTGTTGTAGGTGGAAAACATGGCCGAATTGACCAGCGAGGTGAGGATTGAGTTGACCAGCGACTCGTACGGAGTGCCCGGAGTGTATTTGAGCTTAGAACAACCGCCGAACACGAAGGTTTCCGTGGCGGCGGTTGACAACGCGGTGAGGAGAGAAGCCGTGACGAGGAAGAAGAGAAGTGAGAGAGAAGAGGTTTGTGTTTTTGTCCGACACATGTTTGAGGAAATGAACCTGCAGATTGTTTTGCTTGGTTCTTGGAATTGTAGTTGCAAGACTCTGTGTTTTTAGAAAGAAACAGAGTAATATCGAGAGAGAGAGAGAGAGTGATGGGTTTTGCTAGTGCGAATATGAGAGGTTGATGATGTGGGGTGCTATGAATATTTAGAATCCGAATTGCAAAACTATTTTTCTCTGCGTGCGCGTGCGAGAGAGGGAGAGAGAGAGAGAGAGATTTTAGAACAGTAATAGTATAGTATGGTTGCTTTAAGGGGAATTTACGTAAGAAACTGAGGAACTCGATCGTGTGTATGCGTACGGGGTGGGTGGGTGCGGTTCTATGATTGGACGATATATGGTTAATGATAAAAAAAAGATTATTTGTTGTCATAACTTATGTTAATATTATTTTCTTATCACTTTTATCGTCACTTTCTTCGTATATGTTTTATTTATAAATTTTATTTTTTATTTAAATAATAATATATTACGTTAATGAAGTTGACGTGTGTGAATACAAATATGTATTTTTCTATATAACCATTAGTAGATTACACATAACAGCTTGGTTTCATATGACCAGTAAGAGAGAGACGTTAGGTTTTGAAGTCAATTTATGGTTGAGGGATTAGTTATAGTTGACTACATCACACTCGGAAGACAGATATCACAACCGTGAAAAAGCTACAGACGAAACTTTACCTACTGCCCTCTCTCTTAATGACTAGATGTGGGGCCCTAATATTCCGTTCCGTGGGGTTAATTAATTGGGTCCATCAAGAAATCAACGTCAAACAATTGATCATCAACTTCAATTGATTGGCTAATCAATTGCTTTGCAGGGGTGTTCCCCGGGCAATCTCAAGACTTCTCAACTAGACCTTGCATGCAGGCAGTTATGTAGACCCCGTTCATTTCATCGATTTGAGTTTAAAATTTGAGTTTTGTTACAGTAAAAAGTTCTCAGAAACAGTCATATCTAACTTTTTTATTACAGTAAAAAGCTCTCACATAACATTACATCTTAACTCAAATTAAAAACTCGAATCAGCGAACTAAACGGGCCCGTATAATTTTTTAGTGCTGGATTAAACGTACATTCCTCCGTCGTTCTAAGGAAAAAAAAAAAAAAAAAAACCGAAGGAAATTATACAACTACCAGTTTTTATTCCCCTTCAATGATCTGAAATTTCAATTAGCGCGACACACGTCTGCTGATGTATCAATTATAGGACCCGCAACAAAGCTCAAAAGTAATAAGGAATCCCTACAACTCATCGCCGACTTTTTCTTTTAATCAATTAGGTGCGGAAAGGTATTTTATGAAGTTAGGTTTCGTTTGATTCACAAGTTCAAATCATAAAATTTAAACAAAAATTTAATTTTTACTGAGAAAAAATACTATAATAAAGAAGTTTGAATGGGGTGAAGCGCAGCCTTAAACTAGCAATCGGGGTAGTACCAAGTACTGTGGATAACTACGACGGCAAGACAACCTGGTGTGATGCTAGAGCATTAAAGTTTATAATATTGCTATTTAGTCTTACAAATCCCCCTTTTAGGCAATAATCCGTCGTGCAATGATATATAAGGTGCGTTTGAAATTCGTTCTAAAATAATTTTAGTTTTTGTTTGAAAATAAAAATAAAAACATTTTCAATCTCAGTCAGAAATCATTTTTGAAAATGTATTTGTTAGTTTTATCAAGAGATTATTTTTAGTATAAAAAAACTCATTAATGTCTATCTTTCTCTCTGCTAGAAAGAGGAGAAAACAAAAATAAAAAATAAAAAATGACTAAAATTTATTTTTCATTTCTCTCTCATTTTACACTAAACTAAAAAATCGTTTTCATTTCAGTTTTTTGTCTTTATTGCTCCAAACGTCGTTTTTAAAAACGTTTTTATTTTTTTCTTAAAAAACGTGAAAAATAAAAACGAGATCAATTCTAAACACGACCATAGTTTCAACATCAAACAAATACTATTACTTTTTACTTAAATTTCATTGCACATATGTTTTTGCAATGTGGTATAAATAAAACTGTGCAGCCAAACATGTACAAAACTTCAGTTCAATTACAGGCTGTTATGCAACAAACGAGTGATGAGTGAATTTCTGGGGATTTTGCTTACTTCTAAAGAAACTCCTAGTAAACCCACAAAAAGAAATTATGAGAAACTCTGCTAAATTTTCAAAGTGTTTGGCATGGGATCGAAAAAGGGTAAAGTGAACTAAAAGCAATAACATTTAGTTTTTTTTTTTATATTAAAGAAAATATCCATGTATATATAAAATATAATCTGGAACCAATATGTTTAGTACCTTCTTTTTCTCATTAGCTACGATGTTAGGACATGAAAAGTGAGCATCAATGTAAATTATCAGGTAGTTCTAGATATGGTTTGACAGCTCAAGTATAATTGTGTACCTGTCTACATGTGAGCTATCTAACTTACTCTAAAATCATTTATTATTTTGTGCTTTATACCAAACTTCTTCAAACGAATATAATGATAATATGAAAGAACATAAGTAATTAAATTAAAGGTGTTACATCCAACTCCTTTTCGATTTTATTTATTTTTCAAGAGTTGGTATGTCATTTCATCCCTAGGCAGGCCTGTCCGACAATTTTTAGGAAAAGGAGGATTAACGTTAATTTATTACATGGGACCTGCCAGCCACATATAGCATGAAAATTCCATGGAAACGAGTGATTTATTATTACCTGACATTATAAGAAAATGCTGTTCTAACTTAATTAAGATATTTTATTACACTCTTTCTCTTTACACACTTTTAGCGTGCGATATGTATAACGTCATATTAGCCTCAAGAAGTAATTTCTAGCTAGTGTTTGGATTAATATACTGGCTAGAATAAACAAAAGGCATTTATAAGTTACTCGGAAAATGCTTGTTTTCTCTTATTGAAAATATTAACACGCATTAACGGTACACCTAAAAAAATCTGCAACTATAAGTTGTGATTTATGATAACTTAGATAGAAGAAAAATAATGAAAAAAAAGAGAGAGGCACGGTGATCAAGCCATGTTCCATGAGATAAATCCAAAATTAGAAAATAAAAAAAAATCGAATTACAGAAAATTTTATTTATTTATTTTTTATTTTTTATGAAAAACTGCAGAAGCCAGAAATTATGCAATTAATTTTCCAGAGTCTTCATGGAAACGTAGCTTCAAAGTTCGGGTCATGCATGGATTGGAAGTCTAAGGCGTTTATGTGACGGCAGCGTTTTTCAGAGAACATAGAATATTTTCAACATTTGAAGTCAAGGCATGCAAAAATTGACTAACTACGTATAAGTATAATAATTTTCTGCTCTAGTGTAATTATCGGTGAATATATGGAATCATATACGTCCTTTATTTTCTAACCATTAATTCTATTGCTGCAATAATCCATCCAGATTTTGGTTCTCGCTCTGCCTCAACTTTTTTCGCGGCTAAAGAAAAACATTTTTCTTTTCCTTTTTCCCTTTTGTTTTTTGTTTTTATTTATTTATTTATAAAAAAGTGGTTAAGAAAAACATTCAGGGGATGATAAAAAGGAGCTTCATGTGGTCCAATTTCAATGCTTAAAATGGCTGCCATGTTAATATAACAACTATTTTTATTTTTTGTGGTATTCTGTAGCTTTTTCGAAAGCCATGTATTGAGTTTAGATTACTTTCAATTTAAAACTTGAAAAAAAATAGTAATAAAGAGAGAGAGAGAGAAGTTCCAAAGATAAGTTTATTGTGTTTTGCCCATTTATCTTCCCTTGCGAATATAAATTATTAACTTTTTTTTTTTTTTAATGAGAATCTAAGGGTTAGGTTGACTCATGAGTGTATTCTATACTTAGCAATTTGATTTAAAAATTATATAATTGTGTACATGATTCATTCAATGTATAATAGGTGAATAAGTTTAAACATTAAGGATGAAATTATGTCGCCACCAATAATTAGGCCACTGGGGAGCACGTGGAAACGACAAGGATTGGGCAAGAGAATATTTTGTTTTATTTTTATTTTATTTTCTTAAAAAATTGAATGTAAAAGCAAAGTACTTTTAGAAGCCCCATATAATTGCATGTATATTATTTATATTAGTGTTAGTTAATATATATATATATATATATATGATCGATCTGTTTCTAACACGTCGCTTTTCCATATAGAAACAGAACAAAGACAAGGACGAAGACAAACTTGTGTGCTACGAGTTGACGACTCTCATTCTCTAGATAACGATATGACTTTATTTATTTAATTACTTTTTGGTGTTAATTATACTTCGAATACAATGACTACTTGTTATTTATGATCAGCATCAACTTTGTTTCATGGAGATTGATGCTGAAGTTTCCGGCTCGACCCACGAAAGACGTCCAGTACTAAGGCCTCGTTCGTTTCGCTGATTCGAGTTTAGAATTCGAGTTTTGCTACAGTAAAAAGCTCTAACAAACAGTCACATCTAACTTTTTTACTACAGTAAAAAACTCTCACATAAAATCACATCTCAACTCAAATTCTAAATTCAAATCAGCGAAACGAACGAGGCCTAAATAAATTTGTTCAATTTATCTATTGATTCAGTCAAAGAAACAAAAAGAGATTAAAAAACACAGAAATTGAAAAATCAAATAAGGTAATAGTTCCTTTGAAGAGGGTTCTACAAGCTATTATTGCAATGGAAAAAATAAAATAAATGGTAATATTTGTTTGTTTGAAGAAGGGTTTGTTTAATTATAAAATGTTGTTGCATCGGAAAATATATTGCATATTAGTGCTTATTGGATGCACCAATATTGCTGATTATGTTTTACAAATTATGATATATAGCCAACACAGAATATATATATATATATATGTATATATGGTTTTGCTCGCTTCTAAAGGATTAAATTGAATTGTTACTCCCCTGCTATATATAGTATGTTTCAACTAATTAACTAATTAAGTACGAAATTCTATCTCTAACAAAAAAAAAAAAAAAAGATGTTAAATAATTTACCAGTAAAATGATTTCCGGCCGGTTGTCCTATTATTTATTAGATTATAAAGAAACGTAATGATTCAGTTTTTTGGTTCTTTATAGACGAAAATCAGTCTCTTCTAATGTTGGGCCAATAGGAGGAAAAAGAGAGTACTAACTAATTAATCTTCCTATTTATTTTTGGGGAAAAGGATCCAATCTGCCTAATGATTTAACCCAGGGAGAGAATATTTTATAATGAACAAGACTA